TTCCAATTTGGCAAATTCCAACAGTCGCGACGGCACACAGTGGCCCACACTCGCGAACAACAGCAGGGGATCTTCAACGAAAGATGACGTGTAATCTTTAAGGTGAATACACCCCCAGTATTAACCAGGGCAGCCGCTCGATTCGAACCATGAAACTGTAACGAATGGCGAACCCATTGCGGCTAGGCAATGTCGCAAACGACCGCACACACACACACATACCACCGTCATATAAAGTAGTTTTTATCATTTAATGTCGGCCCGATCCCAAACGTTGACTGCTCAGGTTAAGAAATTTATCGGATGACTGATGTGACGCACGGCTCTTTGCTCACCATGGACAGAGCGCCTCCTACTGGCCCACTAAACACGACACCTGTTGAGGCACGTCCCAGGTGGTGTCATCTTCCAGGACCATTCGTTCTCCGCCATCGTGTGAATTCTGTCGAAGGACATCTTGTGAACTCACAGCGTGGCTAATATAAAGTTGCAATTCGGGTTAAGTGTGAGTGGTGGTAGCGGTAGTAGATACGTTCCATTTGTCAATCCACTTGCAGATGAGGGCCTTCCCACTTCGTGCAGGCAGGTTTGTCAAGGTGGGGGGAGAAAAGAACAGCAGTGGACGTTGCAGTGTTGTCCTCCACTGTCCACAACGCCTACGACACCTGTTCATTGTAGATGGTGATTGCCCAACCAAGCACTATCCAGGGTGAAACCTGCTTCGCTTCTGAAATCTCATGGGATCCGGTGCATTCCGGCTGACTTGGGCCAGGTCATGTGATAACCAAAACGCGCTTTTATATTCGAATTTACGCGTACACGCGTGCGTGTGTATGTATATATGCGCATATGCAATTCAAGCAATGATGTCCCTATTATATTCTTAACAGGGCATGGTTTATAATGCCAAGTGAAAATCACAACCCTGTGTCCCTGGCCTCAATGTGGACAATCGGCAGCTGAAGACAGAATTTTGATCGTGATAAATGGAAGCGTCATTCGTCTGTGCCAGTGGTCAGGGGATTAGACCATTGTCGCTCGACACAATGCACATCAATACATGGAGGAATAGGAGGCTAGGTTATCAAGTTGCCAGCGAAATGCAGAAATCTCACATGACATTGTTATGCAAGGCACAAATTAACAACCTTTCTGTACTTTCCGACCCTGCAGTTTTGTATTTAAAATCCATCTGATTCTAGATTTGAAGCTTTCGTGACTGCAATGATTCATATTCTTAGGTTTTTTTTGTAAAGTCACGTAGGTAAAACATTAAAAAAGTAAAATAAAATAAAAATCACGACGTTTCGGAGGCGACACAAGCTTCCGTCTTCAGGTGGAACCGTCACAGCACGATTGCTGTATCAAGTATCAAGTACAGCTGTCGTGGCTGTGACGGTTCCACCTGAAGACGGAAGCTTGTGTTGCCTCCGAAACGTCGTGATTTTTATTTTATTTTATTTGACTTTTTTAATGTTTTACCTACGTGACTTTACCGAAAAAAACCTAAGAATAAAAATCCATCTGCTTTATACCAATTCTACACGTATTTTTTTTCATAATTTCCCACATGTTAATATTCATTTTCCCATCGCCGAATTTTAATACTCCTCTTTTACATGAAGGTCCTAAACGCAAAATTTTTGTCGATTTATTTTACATCGGAAATCCTATTAACTGATTTCTTGTAGGGTCGCTCTCTGCATAGATCCTATTAATTGTGTTTATCCAAGCAGAAAATAATGGATACATACGGATAATCGGATGAATTTTCCACCACTTCTGGATGATGTCCTCTTATCTTCCTGATGGGAAAAGAATGCCGTACCACGTGAAGAATTATAGCAATAGGGCATCTGTAGCAAGAACCATTTTTACTTTTCTCAAAGAATATCCCGAGCACGTGGGGAAAAACGTCGGACCATTTGCCAAAGAAGACGCAGCGCAACCCAAAATGGCATCGGAGAGCCATATAACGATGTTGTATGTTTTAAATGTAGGAGGAAACCAGAGATAACTCATGCATCTGCTTGTCAAAAAAAAACACTTACATTCATGGATCATCCTTAATCTCTCGACAGAGATGATAATTTTCCTTCCATCTGATACTCCTGCCCCATCGTCATATAAGTGAGAACCCTGACTTGCTGTGCTGGCTCCGTCTTTGTGTGAGTCACCAACGCCACCATCATGCAATTGGTTTGCAGACGATCAGTGCCAGAGCTGGACATCAAAGAGCCACTGTGCTTGAGGCTGCAGTTCATATCCCTTGTACGCAATACAAACACCGGTGCGTACATATATACTATATGGAGTGTAGGTATGCCATGGTGCATCGATTCATCAATCAAAATACATTTCTTATACCCCTGGTGCATGCACCATGTATATTCACAATGTATTCAAATTGCGTGCTATATTAAGAATGCATGTTCTGGCTAATAGAACAAAGGGTAAGGAACATAACGTGACTGAACATGAAAGCAAGACATTATAGACAAGGCCAGACAAATAAGACGGGACATATCAGACAGATAGTACAAACTAGACAGCACGAGGCAGTCAGACAGTACAACACAAGACGAATGAGAGTGGCATAACATATGCGACTAGAAATACAAATGTGAAACAGAGTATACATCAGACAAACGGTACGATTCAGACATAATGGGTTAACTCTTGAATTGAATCATAACTCCATGAAGACTTTATTGAGAGCAAGCATCTCTATTGTGTTTTGCAAGTACACAATGTACACGCAAGTACACTTACATATCCTTGTTCAATCCTCTGCTGGATGAAGGCCTCGCCGTGCCGTGTCGGTCATGATGTGTATTTGACCATAGTTCACCATCACTATTAATCTGAAAATAAAATGTTCAACTATTATGCTGTTAGAATACAAATCTCCTGAAGTAGCAAGCACTGTTTTTAATATGATAATATCATCAATGATCGTATTAACGTGTTGGCCATGAATATAGTAGGCATTTTTAGGCAAACGCTTATTTAAATGGGCACCCAAAAACTCTCTCGTACATGCGTGGGTGTCTGTAGCCGCATGTCCACTAATGTGGAGCCAGCAATGAATGTCAATCCAAGTCCGTACCCAATTATTTCAAGCACCTGCGTGTCAGGCTCACATTTACAATTGAAGCCCGCAACCAAAGAATCCAAGTTGGATGATGAAAATTGTTCCGTGCCAAAAAATGCAAATTACTTCACTGAACGTTAAAAATGTAAGATGCTCTCCAGATAGGAATAGTTAATCACACAGTTAGTTGGGTTAAGTGGGATTTATGTTTGTCCGTAAACAATTGTGTATTTTAGCTATATACTTGCGGTGAATGTGTGTGTGTCTTTTTGTGTGGCCTCAAGGTGCACATAGCCTGGCACAAGCGTCGTGGTGACGTCACCGCTACTTAGTGGCCAATGGCGGTTGTTGTTGTTGTTGTTTGTGTGAGGATGGTAACGTAGTGGTTATCACACTATGCTCTGGATCGGGCGGTCTCAGTTTGATTCCTGACCGCTGCTAATATCAGTGGTAAGTGATATCTCAAAGGCAGCCAGGAATTATAGTGACAAATGTTGCCAGCACGGTGCTAAGCCCACCAGCACCTCACATAGATTTCTGTCCTTAATATGTGCTCGCAAACAGCACATTCCCCTATGGTATAAAAGGCTTAATGGGCAATATTCTTCTGTTTTTTGTGTGTGTTAACACTTAAACCAACTAAACACATATATGTATGATTTAAAAAGTTAAATCCAAACCGTGCATATTTGAAATCAATATGATAAACAGACTTGGTGCCTTTGTGCTTTGCTTGCTTGTAGGAGATGCCAATGGATATATATATTTTAAAAGATATGGAACTCGCAACTTGTGTGCAGCAACATCAAAGAGACTGCAACCTGAAACGGAATGAGATGGGATGCCGCAGTGGGTATGCATCTATCCTGATGCAAAGTGACAGAATTAGACATAAAATAATGAGTGAGTTACCTAACTGTAGTGCAAGCATTCGTTGTATGTCTCAACTGTGTCGAGTATATGTGTGTGTGTGCGTGCACATACAGATCCTGGTGTCAAGTGATCAAATTACGAAGTAAATACATTGATCGTACTCTTGTCGATGGAGGTGTCTGATGTCCATCGTTATGATGGAGTCAGGTGTCGACTATTGTCGAACATCTTCTTGGTTCTTTCGGTAAAGTCACGTAGAAGGGAAATAATAAAATAATAAAATTATAAAACAATAAAAATTCTCATGACGTTTCGACTGCAACACAAGCAATCATCATGAGGTGTGAAATCCACAGCAATATTTATTTATTTATTTCAAAAATTCTTGCTGTGGATTTCACACATGATGATGATTGCTTGCGTTGCAGTCGAAACGTCGTGAGAATTTTTATTGTTTTATATTTTTATTATTTTATTATTTCCCTTTTACGTGACTTTACCGAAAGAAGCAAGAATATGAATCCCTGCAGTCACGAAAGATTTAAATACAAATATATTGTCGAATAGTTGAATAATCTGGCAGAAGGAAAGAAGCGACGGTGAGGGGGTGGTGTCATCGATGACTTTGAACATGATGACGCTTGACCTTGACCTCTAATCGTTTTTAGTAAGACGCACTGCTTAGGACTATGGTGATAATGATTGATTGATGATGTTGACGATTATTATGGAGGTGCGGTCCCCCACGGTAGGAATGTGGAATTTACACCACTGGAAATTCCACAGGGACGGACTGCGGAGGAGCTGAGCTCTGCGTGGTGTTGTTTCTGGACCTCCACTAGGTCGACTCGGCCTCAAATGAGTACCTGGTGCTGTGTATAAACATCGCCACTCGGGAGACACAGTTGGCATGGTGCTGGCCACTCACCCCCTCGTGTGCCGTGCCCGTCTTCACAGGTGCTACTCGCTAACAGCACTTGCTCCAACAGTCTATTAAGGCTACATGGGGGATCTTTGTCTTTCTGCATTTCAGATGGTGACAAGGAAGAAGCGAGAAGTGAAGCAGCGGCGGCACCGTTTGTCACAACTGACCTCGCGCCTTCATGGGGAGGACCTGGTAAATTCTTGATTAAAACAAAATATTCAGCCAAACACAACATTTCCACAGGTGTCCATGTTTACTCCTTTGATGAAAAATAAGAATAGGTTTTACCCTTTGGTGGAGAACCCCCTTTGTAGAGACCCCCCTCTCGAGAGCCCCCCTCTAGAGACCCCCCCATAGAAAGCCCCCCCTCTACAGCTCCAGATATCCTCACCTCGAGGGTATTTCACCCCACCATTCCAAACTTAGCAGACGACGGGAGAAGAGGTGGCAAGCGCCCACAGTTTGTACCCCACCACACGTGACCAGCCGATTGACTGGCTGTGGCAAAACCCATCTATCGCGCCTCCAATTAGCGCCGTTGGCCACGTACGGTGCGAAAGAAGTTCAGCACACATTCATGACATTGATGCTTCTGGGTGAACAGAACAAGGCGTGGTGGGTGGTTGGGTGGAAGGGGAGGGGAATGTAAGAAACTTGCCCCATTGTTTCAACTGCCAGGCTGGTAGGTTAAACAGAACCAGCAACCTCTGAAATGCAAGTCCAGTGTGCTAACCAGAACGAACTTGTTAACATCCCCTTTATTTAATCATTAATTGTAATGCTATTTTTAAGTGTCTCTCTATTCAAATTATTGGGGGGGGGGGTGTGCTCATTACAGTCCTTCACCAGTGGTGGACATTCCACATTCATTTGGTGGGGGCAAGTCCCTCCATTAAAGATGATCACTGTTGACTTCTCACATTAGACCTCATTCCAGACGAAACACCTAATTCGAGAGTCAAACATGTCACCTCGTGGCTTTGACATTCCTCCTCTCCGAAGACACCGATGGTGTAACCATCAGCCGCATCAGAACATCAACAGGCCGCTCCACACCATCTCCTCCACAGGAGTGCAATCGTGGCCATGCAACCCAGACCATGGACTATATAGTAAGTCACTGTAGTCTGTGCTCCTGATGAGGGATAGCAGAACGACACCAACTCGCTCCTGAAGCCCTCTCGTGGCTCGCAGACCTCGGGCATTCGTATTTAGCTCCTGAACATCTTACTGGTAGGAACCTCCTGGTTACACCAGCCCACAGGGGATTATTGTGTCCGTCCGTCGTGCAGGGAGGAGCTGGGTGGGGAGGAAGAGGCTGGGTGGGGAGGGTGGGGAGGGGCTGGGTGGGGAGGGTGGGGCTGGGTGGGGAGGGTGGGGCTGGGTGGGGAGGGTGGGGCTGGGTGGGGCTGGGTGGGGAGGGGCTGGTCACCCCGTGGTGCCCTTATAAAACTCAACGTTTAACCTACTCACGCCGGCTTGTGCCCGCCCTCACAGTCGGGCATATTTGCGGAATACACCACGCCGCCGTTGACCCTGGCCACTGACCGAGCAACCCAACGTTCCTACCAGCTCAGGAATGTGTTGCCATCCATAAGCATAGAATCGGTACTCGTTTTATTGATGCCAGGGGGATGAAAGGGCTTCGTTAGTCCGTGCCCTTTGGAGATTTTTTTTAAATCACAAGATATCAATGCCGGAGCCGTGGTTCATTCGATCATGCTGCAAATTGATATTTGCATCATCCGTGTCTTTGTGGATGTGCAATGTGCACACACGGTTACTGAGCCTCCACTTCTTTCGGTACTCCAACATTCTAGACATCTGTGTCTTTCTTTGTGTGTGTCTCTCTGTCATTCTCCAGGAAACTGTCTCTCTGTGCCTGTCTTTCTCTTTGTATCTCTCCATCTCACTCTCGTCATGCCTCTCTCTGTGTCACTATCTCTCTCTCTACATGGGTGTATCAGTATTTTTTATTTTAGTATCACTCTTCTGGCATCCACGTATTAATTTCTCAGTGTCTCTCTCTCTCTCTCTGGGTATTTGTCTTTCTTTTCCACGTCTCACTCTGTCTCTCCATATCTCTGCGAATGTGTCTCTCCATGTTGAGGCGTCTCCGATCACATCTCGCTCTCTCTCCACATGTCTTTCTGTCCATCTCTCTCTCTGTGTCTCTGCCTCGGCGCGTCTGCCTCTCCCTCTGTCTAGGGCTCCTCTTCCTCCCGTTTGTACCAGTTCCCAATTCGTCCTGAGATGGCTCCTATCGTCAGTGTGACGACCGCATTGAGGTGAATTGGTGTGCACAGCAGTGCGTGCAGAACGGATCAAACAAAGTCCCCGCTGCTTTTCCCTTCTCGACGACAGCACGCGTTTTGTGATTCCATGTTGTTTCCGCACGTGATCTGAAATAGGATTTGTTTTGTTCCATTGGGCCATTGGTGACCGCCCTGCCATTGTCCCCTTTGTTCATAATTCACAAACGATACGTAAGATCCGTGTGTGTGAGCTTTTTATTTTTTAGCTGAGCAGCTGTTTGATTATTCAGCGTTTTTGTTGTTGTTGTTTTTTCCATGATATAGGTTTTTTTGGGTTTGATCGCGTAAATATATATGTGTGGGGTTAAACCCGCTACCACCCGACACAGCAGTAAAGTTTGTCACGTAAACAGAACATGCCAATTCGTTACTAGTACAGCACACCAGTGTGTTGGAGAGCAAATCCACATCATTTGCCATCGGGTTTAACGACACATTTATATTTACGCGATCTAATCCAAAAACCTATATTATGGATGATATTGGTCGCGAAAGCCTACGAGTTAAACTGCTGTTGATTTTTTTACAATTTTCAGAAGAAATTCAATGTTGTTTCGGTTGTGGAAGGCCTTAATTCAGGTAAATACGCGTCGACTTGCGTTTTGCCATACATGTTCTATTCCCCCACTGCACTCCGCTGATGAATGCGGTGAGCATCTTTAAATTCTGATGGCTGTACTTATTACTGTACTTAGCGAGTTAAAATAATTAGTGCTAGTTGCCACGACGTTTTACTGTAATTTGCCTCAGTAAAATGTGCTTTAGCAAATTAGAATTACATTGGAATGTAGTAATAATGAGGGGGAGACGGTGAGAATTGGAATGCATGGTTGTTAAACATTAAACTATTCTTTACTTTTGTGACAATCCAGGTGCGACCCCTTTGAGACCGCTTCTTTGAATTGTCAAGGCAGACGAGGGAGTGAATTATTGGGACGAAATCTTTCCCGGGGGGGGGGGGAGTCCCAAACATTAACAACAAAAGCAAGAATTCAATGAATACATTAATAATAAACAAACGCAGTTTGACGTGTCTAATGATTTTTATTATTATTATTTAGCCACACTCGTAACATCTCGCAATTAAATTTCCCAAGACTGCTTCCTGCTCCACTATCCCCTCTCGCTGTCTTCCCCATCGCCATTGCTCTTCAGTTGTATTATTCTTCTTGGTTCTTTCGCTAAAGTCACGTAGAATGGAAACAATAAAAATAATAAAATTAAACATAATAAAATAATTCTCACGACGTTTCGGCCACAACGCAAGCAGCCGATATCAGGTGAAGACGCTGTCTCCCCGACAGACCTGGTCTTTACCTGATGACGGCTGCTTGCGTTGTGGCCGAAACGCCGTGAAAATTATTTTATTATGTTTTATTTTATTATTTTTACTGTTTCCATTCTACGTGACTTTACCGAAAGAACCAAGAAGATGAATCCCTGCAGTCACGAAAGCTTTAAATCAAAGTTGTATTATTGTGATCGTTTCGATATATTTACGTAACAATATAAAACGATGGCAATCTTCAGCTTTTCCTTCAATCAAATATGATTTGAAGGCCTGCACCTTTCTAAATTGTGCCCACGGTGGTTGTTTGACCATACTTTCGCTGCTCTTGTCAGTGTGAGTTGGTGGGGTGCTCAAGACGAGTTTGGATAGCCACTGACGTCAGCCCTCGAGCCAGGAATCAAACCCATCCGAATTTTGCAAAATCAATTCCCTTTGGAGACTGACCCAGCCTACCATCTGCCCGGTGTCAGTTCCCCACCGTGGGATGTTACCACTGGTTGTCTTACGGTTTACAATCACATTGCCAACATAGAAAGATGGAATTTCCAGCACTGGCTCAGAGTTTTCTGAAAGACATAAGTACAGATCAACACTTGTTTGAACATAGGGACACTTTGACCTTTAATGACCGTTTTACTTTTCACGTTTGCAATCATCTCACGATCCGCAGTCATGTTCACGCTTGTCATCTGGTTGCCACAATGGACGGATGATGGATGGCGTGCAGCACCCCCACTGCCACCACCCACTCTCTCACTCTTTGCTTTGTCCCAACATGCACTGCTCTCTGCTCTCCGGTAATCGCTCAGTCGCTGTCGCTCTACAACTCGCAGACGGCAGTGAGGTGGTGATCGCCGGGCTATTCATTCTCTCCAACATTTTGTTTCTGAACGGCCTGCTCTCTAACTCAGGTTGTGCCTTCTCAAAACAAAAAGAAACATCTTCTTGGTTCTTTTTTTGGTAAAGTCACGTAGAAGGGAAATAATAAAATAATACAAATAAAACATAATAAAATTTCGATTTAAAGCTTTCGTGACTGCAGGGATTCATCTTCTTGGTTCTTTCGGTAAAGTCACGTAGAAGGGAAATAATAAAATAATAAAAATAAAACATACTAAAATTTCGATTTAAAGCTTCTTTCGTGACTGCAGGGATTCATCTTCTTGGTTCTTTTTTTGGTAAAGTCACGTAGAAGGGAAATAATAAAATAATACAAATAAAACATAATAAAATAATTCTCACGACGTTTCGGCCACAACGCAAGCAGCCGTCCTCAGGTGAAGAACATGTCTGTCGGGAAGACAGCGATATTTCCCTTCTACGTGACTTTACCGAAAGAACCAAGAAGATGAATCCCTGCAGTCACATAAGCTTTAAATCAGAAATAAACAGTTGTGTGTTTTGAAGAGGAGCTTAGTTTTTTGTTTTAGTTTTCAGGCAGATTCTTCAGTAATATTGCTCACCCCGTTTCTGCTACGTCGGGTTCCCGACTTTAAAAGCTAAACGACGGACAGACGTCTTTCGATAAGTCGATCGCGTCGCGATGCTGACGGGGACGTCACCTCAACAAGTGCAGTGCCTTGTTT